TGAAATAGAATCAGGGTTGAAATTCTGTGGGTTTTATATATGTGAAAGAGGTGTATTTATTTCCATGAAATATTTTGGAAATAGATGATGGCCTCATCATGGTTATTGGTAAGAGATAATAAAAAGTGGTAAAACATTAAGGTAAATTTTTGTTACCTGATTAGAGTTTAGAACATTGTGCTGCCTTTTCCGCTTTTTCTAATGAACTATCTGCCATCTGCTTATGAGTGAAACTGAAATTATAGCAATCAACCAACTCAGTGTGTACATTCATATTGAAATGACTTAATTTCAATAATATGATACACAGGACTAACCTATTAGGGGTATAGTTAATATAGGTACACATAGGGTTATAGTTAGTATATTTTCTTCATTGAAAATTCTATGAAAATCCAACATTAGTATTAAAATTTCAATTAACATATTTTAATTACAGTGTCCATAAAATCTAAGAAAAAATAAAAATAACCAGAGAAACTTTTAAGTGTTATATCATAGTTAAATTAACAAAATATTGGAAATATACTATAAAATGATGTATAATATGATAGCAGCAAATAGACATACACATTTTATATAATTATTTCTGCTTATGCAACATATTAGATATTAGTGTTGAAACTGAATATCCTAAAGTATCCAGCAGTGTGTAACTTCCTGAGTTGGTATTTTCATAGATGTCCTGCTAAGGAAACTGAGATATAATTAGTCTGTAACCTGAAGTGTTTGCTAACTTCGTTTGAAATTGCCTTCGAGCATTAAATGTGACTTGGACTGTTGAATTAATAGTTTTGACAATTCCTGATATAGTCTTATTATTCTGTTGTATTATTCTTGGTAATCGTGGTTCTCTTGATCATGTATCAAATAGAGAGAAATAAGAACTAATCTCAGCCGTCAGCTGAGTTGAGTTATTTTCAACACAGGAGAGATACGCTATTTGTTCTGAAGTAATTTTTAAGTTTAAAGTATATAGCAGTAAGAAGGAAAACACATATAATGTGGTTATTAATCTATTCCTATTACCACCTGGGAAAACAAAATTTATTAAATTATTTATTGAATAGTAATACAAAGGAAAAAAACAAACTTAGTGGTCTTCTGATTGTCCGTAACAACTTGTATTTTATTGCATGTGATAAAATTATAAATTACTCAGGCTGAAATTATAACTTACACTTTTCTTCATATTACTATTTTCAGATCTGTTTCTACTTTCATATTGTATGGGTCACCATTAGTGAATGATGTGACTGTCTTTAGAAATAAAACAATAAGCTTACAGAGCATGAAGGATAAACTAAGGGATTATGATACACTTAAAACCACCCTGTTTGTCTTTATTTAACCCTTTGAGACTAGGGATGCAGTTCCATCTCTCTCAGATTTAATTATATTAACAGTAATTTATACCTAATATATGTTTCAGAATGAACACATTTGGAAGAAACTCCTAAAAAACTGTCATATTTTAATAATTTTGACAGTTGCTTCAGAAATCTGGATATAATTTGTCAATTTAAAAATTTGTTATATAAAAACGTCATGTAACAATGTGGCTTATTTAGGCTTTAGGGAATAAAATTGCACTCTTGTGAATATAAGGGACAGGAAGGAGATAAAACCTGTCATATACTGTAGGCTATAGGGAACAAATCCGTAAAACCAGATGCAAGTGCAATGGAATAATATGCTGTTCCAACAATCTTGGTTTTATTTCTTCTGTAACAAAATGAATAATTCATGTAGGAAGGTATCAGATGTTGGATTCTTTTGCTCAACAAAATCAATGCTTTTATCAAAATTTGCTTTTCTGACCTCATATATAAAAAGATGGTATGGAGAGTGATATGTTGTAATCTTTTTTAATTTGAAAAAAAACTCTTCTTCTTTTCTTCATGAGATTAAAAATATCTGAGCAATTACTATTAAATAAAGAATACCTATAATAGTTGATTTAAGACAAAGTTTAACAAATATGACAATATATTGGGTTCATTTTTAAATTTTGATTTTCTTACTGTAAAATTTATATATATGAGAAAATTTCAATTAGCTATCACTAAACTAATTAGAAAATTTTTTATTTCCTATCAAAGCAGATTTTACCTTATGATGCAGGATGAGATATTCAACCTGTTATTAATAATTAAATGTAATATAACTTTTCCAAATCTAAAAATGAACCAACCAGTTGGAACTTGGCTAATCGCCATCTCCCTTCTCTTATTTTCCTTAATAATTCATTGAATTAAACTGATTATTTCCTAATTTCTTAAATTCATTTTTCTTTGTTTTGTTTTCTACTTCCTTTTAATGCCCCTAAAGTGAGGAAAAGAGTCCATGAACCTTTCTTATTCTCTGTCTCCATTCTTTTACTTGAAAATACCATTCACCAACATAAGCTATCATCTTTACACATATGTCTACCAGATTTATATCTTCAGTCTTGACCTTGTTGCTAAGTTAACGTGTCACATCTCCAACTTCCTGCTGGTGTCGTGTCAATTCTATTGCCACCTTAAATTCAAAACGTCCAAAGGGATTTATCATCATCCCCAAAGAATCCAGCTTCTTTAATGCACTTTCTACTAAGAGAAGAAAAAAGGGAAAAAAATTATTTTGAAAAAATGAAACAAAGAGGAAAAATAATTTTTTTATTATTTTTTTGAGATAGAGTTTGACTCTGTTGCCCAGGCTGGAGTGCAGTGCCTCAATCTCAGCCCACTGTAGCCTCAGCCTCCCAGGTGCAAGCGATTCTCTTGCCTCAGCCTCCCGAATAGTTGTGGGCACCACCACACCAGCCTAATTTTTGTATTTGTAGTAGAGATTGGGTTTTGCCATGTTGGCCAGGCTGGTCTTGAACTCCTGACTACAAGTGATCAGCCCACCTTGGCCTCCCAAAGTGCTGGGATTACAGGCATGAGGCACCACTCTCGCCCAGAATTTTTTATGTGGACTACCAAAATCCTTATAAATTGACAGTGAGATAAAGCAAGAAAATTATATTTGCATAATGTATCTAATGTATCTAGTACTTGTGTGTGTGTATATTGTAAACTTTAGATACCAACAAGTTGAAAACAACAGATAACTGTTAAAGTAATGACTACTCAAAAAAGGTGAGTATTCTAAAAAGATTAGCTGACTTTGTAAACATGCTTTACTCTGGGTGCACTTGTTGATTCTGGCTTGGCTGGAGGCTAAGAATTCAGACTTTAAACGCTGTTGAATGCTATTTTTTGGCAAATGTATGAGTCAGCATAGCTTTGAGGGAGATGGCCTCAAGCACAAAGGCAAATTTTCTGTTAAGGCATTTGGCGAATTCTGAACAAGCCTACAAATGTAAATGGAAAAACTCTGTAAATGTATAATGAAAAATTTTTGGCAGTCATGCCAAATGAGTTTGAAGACAGGGGAGGACTCTATAGAATAAACTAGACTTTCAGGTGAAAAGACTTGAAGAACAAGCCAGGGGCAAACCAAATGCAGACTGAAGATTACCAGAACTAAATCCAGGCTCAACTCAGCACAATTCTTAATTGAAATAAGCTGATAACCCATCCCTTTATCTTTCTAGTTGAGAGAAAAGAGAAACATCTTAGGATAAAAATAGCATTATATTAGACACTTAAAATTTATTTATATGCATGACATCAGGCAATGGAAAATTATTACAGATGCTAAAAGAATGTAGTGATTGAAATAGAAGAAAAAGATACTCAATTGAAATAGGCCAACAGATGATTCAGATGTTTTAATTATCTGATAAAGATTTTTAAAAATACATGCACATGATATATTTAAAAAAAAATAATGGGAGAAACCAGAGATAAAACATTGAAAGAGAAAGAATTTACCCCTGGGGGTTGGAATTTATATAAAGAATCAAATGGAAACTCTAAGACTTAAAAATATAATATCTAGAAGTAAGAAATTATTAAGTAGGTTTAATAGTAGATTTAAAAGTATAGAAGAGAGGATTAGTGAACTTGAGAAATAATTGATTAATATTTTCCCAAACTAAAGCACAATGAAAGGTTAAAAACACCCCCCCCCCGAAAAAAAAAGAGAGAGAGAGAGAGAGAGAAAAGAATATCAAAAACATATGGGTTCAACAAAAGATTCAATATATACATTAATATATTACCAGGAGAAAAAAACCAGAATTGGATAGAAGCCATATCTGAAGTGCAGAGGACAGAGAATTTTCCAAAATTAATTAGTAACATCAACTCACAGATTTAAGAATACTTTCATATTTCAAGTGTAATCAAGAAAACCACATTTAGATATTGATGAGTAGAAATGTTTAAAATCTAAATCAAAGAGAAAATTATGAAAGACATCAAACATAAAGACCCAAAGGAACAGCAAAAAGATTGACAGTGGACCTTTCAACAGCAGGGCAGTTGAATGACATATTTAAAGTGCTTTAAAATACCGGCTTAGAATTCTATATCCTGTATGAATATTCTTTAACAGTTAAAGTGAAATAAAAGCATTTTCAACAACAACACCTAAGATAAATAATTACTAGCAAACTCGAAATAAAGGAAATGCTAAAGGTAGTTCTTCAGGCAAAATGAGAAAAAAAATCCCAGAGAGAAAAAAATGGAATTTTAGGAAGGAAAGAAGATAATAGAATAACATAAGTTGTATTGTTAAGCACAAAACAATTGCAATAAAATATTTGGGGATTTAAATATTTGTAAAGTGTAATACATGACAACAATAACACAAAAGGTAGAAAGGAGCTAAAGTATTCTAAGTTTCAAGCATTATTGTGGAAATGTTAATGATAATATTCATGTTAGATTATAATAGTTCAGGACTAGTAATTTCTAGAGTAACTACTAAAAGAAAGCATGACTCCTAAAAACTAAGTATAGGTGAAAAATTAAATGATGAAAATAATTGATTAGCCTAAGCAATGCTAAGAAAGAAGAAATGCTAACAACAACAAAGAAGGTCAATAAGAAAAAAAAAACAAGATGAGTGCTATACTCTTAAATATATCAATAAATCTATTAAATGTAAATATACTAAATATTCCAATTAAAAAGCTAAGACTGTTGGTCTGGATAAAGACACAAACCCAAATGTAAGTTGTCTATAAGAGATATGCCTTAAATAGGATTTAAATTATAAGTTAAGAAAAAGTAAAAATCTGTTCCTATAAACACAAATGTAATTTCTGTAGATTTGTGATGTAATTTTAATATAAAATTTGATAATGTTTAGGGCAAGAAACATTACTAAAGATAAAGGGGGAAATGTCATAATGCTAAAGGGGCAAATTCACATGAAGGTATTGCAAATCAATATTACCTGAATGAAATAATACAGCTTCAAAATATATAAAGTAAAAATTAATAGAATTAAAAGGAGAAATAGCCATATCCATAATCACAGTGGGAAGCTTTTACACTTCTCTCTGGATATATCAATCAGATGAAAAGTCAATAAGGTTATAGAATGTCTATATAAAACAGTTAAAAATATCTTGAGATAATTGACATTATAAGACACTCCACCAAACAAAAGGGTCTTCAAAGGCCTATAGAATATTCAATCATACAGTGATTCAAAATGTAGAATAATCAAAATATAGAATGATTTACAATTATTCAGCAAGTATTGTCAGACAACTAAAGAATTAAGCTAGAAAATCTGCAATTGGACTGGGCACAGTGGCTCACACCTGTAATCCCAGCACTTTGGGAGGCTGAGGCAGGTGTATTGTCTGAACTCAGGAGTTAAAACCAGGATAAACCACCCTGGGCAAGATGGTGAAACCCCATCTCTACTAAAGTGCAAAATTTAGATGGACTTGGTGGCACACGCCTGTAATCCCACCTACTAGGGAGGCTGAGGTGGGAAAGTCGCTTGAACCCAGGAGGTGGAGGTTGGAGTGAGCCAAGCTCATGCCATTGCACTCAGTCTGATTGACAGAGCAAGACTCTGTCAAAAAGAAAGAAAGAGAGAAAGAAAAAAGAAAAGAAAAGGAAAGAAAGAATCGGTAACTGTGTGGAAATTAAGCAATATGCTTCTAAACCTATGGACCCAACGGGTTGGAATGGAGTTTAGAAAGTATTTTGAAAGCAATAAAAATGAATTTATTGCTAAAAAAAACTTGGTGATATGAAATTACAGAAATGAATAGAATAAAACATATAACCTTAAAGGGAGTTATTAAAAGAGAATACATGCTCAAATTTAATACTCTAAACTTCCATAGCCAGAAGCTGGTGAAAGAACAGCAAATGAAATTCCTTTAAAGTGAAAGATTTTAATAACAAGGACAATAGAACTCAATACATATACAAATGGAGAAAAAAAGCAATAAAGTCAAATTGTTTTTTTACCGTTTATAAAATTGAGAAGATCCCTATCAATAGTGATTCAAGGAAAAAATGAGTAAAATCACATTTTGCTAATATCACAAATAACTATTGATAATTAGAAAGTACATTATAAACAAGTTTAAGCCAATATATTTGACAATTGGGGTTAAACAGACAAATTGGAGACCACAACTTGAAATAAATTAAAAATCTGAATACCTTTTTATCCATTAAATAAATTGAATCATTAATTAAAACCTTTCGACAGAAAAGAAAAAAAAAAACACTTCATGTTCACATGACTTTACTGAAAAATTCTTAAAAATGTTTAGGAATGTTGTAATGCCAGTATACACAAATTCAAAGAATAAAACAGAAATTCTCCCATCTCATCTTTTGAGGCCATCTAAAGGCCTTACTTAGTTGTGTGATTGTCAAATGACAGATTGCTGAATTGAAATGTAATAATAGGCCAGGCATGGTGGCTCATGCCTGTAATCCCAGAATTTTGGGAGGCCGAGGAAGGTAGATCACCTGAGCTCAGGAGTTAGAGACCAGCCTTGGCAACACGGCAAAACCCCATCTCTACCAAAAATACAAAAAATTAGTCAGGTATGGGGGTTCACACCTGTAGTTCCAGCTACTCAGGAGACTGAGGTGGGAGGATTGCTTAAACCCAGGAGGCGGAGGTTGAAGTAAGCCTAGATCATGTTACAGCACTTCAGCCTGGGTGACAGAGTGAGACCCTGTGTCAAAAAAAAAAAATGTAAAAAGAATAACTCCCCATAAATTTATAAATAATTATGATATTATTTCCCACACTGCATTATAATATGTATTTACATTTCTATCTCTCCTACTAAATTTGCTCAAAGGCGATACATCATCATCGTTATTCAGGAGAATGTACCTGAGCTACCACACAGTAGTGAGGAATCATAGAATCAGTTAAGACTATTTTAGATGTTTACAAATAAGCCCAGTTGATACATCATAAAACAAATGCAACAAGTTGTTCTTATCAATATATTCTGATTATATATTTCCTTAAACATCCCTTCTTCAATATTGGAATCATGTTTTATTCATCCCCAGGATCAAGGAAAATGTCAGGCATATGAACAATGCTCACTGGAATGAAATCAAAAGGTAATAGAGGGGATTTCAGTAACTGTTTATATCTACAAATACAGCTGGTGGGGACTTTTTCTTCTACTCCACTATTGCGTGGACAATGCGGTCTACATCTCTCAGATCTATTCCAGCACTCTGTTCCAGCAAGCACAGATCTTGTTATTCCAGCAAGCACAGACTTATTCTAGCACTCTATTCCAGCAAACACAAGGAAAGTAATCCCAGCATTAGGCCACCTCAAGTCAGTACTCTTGAAAACTAACCATTCTATGAATCATCTTGACATCTTTTTAATTATAGATTCTGATTCCCTTAGAGTAAGGCCTAAGTTATTTCATCCCTAACTGTTATGTGATGACATTCCTGTTTGGCTGTCAAACATACTTTGAGTTATAAGGATTTAATTACTGAGAACTTCTGCATAGGGCACAAGGTGAGTTCTTGATTTCTAGCCATCTTTTGAAGCAGGGATCCTAGGATACATCTTGATAATTGTGCATAAACAAATTCATCACCTGATGTATCACTTCCTGCTGATACCACCCAAGATACCAAGTGAAGTAACCAAGTAGATTACCTAGAGCCCTAAGGAGAACTTATGCTTAAATCCTTCAATTCCCAAGTTATATTATGCTGCTTTTGTGTGGTAAACTTCTTTTAGAAACGTCCCTAAGTCTTTCTCCAAGGTAGTACTGAATCCAAAACATTTCCAGACATGCCTCTAATTTTTCTTTTATTTTCATTATAATTGGATTTTCAGAAGCTAAAGAGTTCAATTTTCAGGGCATTCTTTGGATGAAAACTACAACTGTGCTTACATATTTCCACACAAATGTTGGCTTTCCTTACTCTTGTGGTCAAAACAATGTAAACCATTTCATAGTTCTGCTGTTTCCTCTCATAACTGAGTTGCATTCTTTCCTTCCACAAGATCTAGATGGCATGTACAGTTTGTATGACTCTAGTGAATGAACTGCGTTAATTTATACTACCTTACTTTGACATCTTTTCCTATTCCTAGAACCTCTTTCACATTCCCCAGTAGATGTCAAGAACCCCATTTTCTCTTTTGTGGGCCTCAAAAAAATCTTACGGGTGTTGAAAGAGGGGCCTTCCAAACAGAAGAGTTCCCCTGCGCATCAGCAAAGTTTTGGAACATGAGCAAGCATTATTTCTGCTGGGTAGTTCATAGGTACCATGCATGTAATATGTTAGTGCAAGGTCCTCCCAAAGAGCAATGAGAGCAGGCAATTAGAGTTGTTTGAAACTCAGCCGTATTCATAAAATGATCTGTTACTCATTCAAAGGCAAACGTTACCCAATTACTGCAACTTCCTACTCTGTCCTCTGAAAATGGACTTCTATGGTTTTATCTGTTCTCTTTTCAATCTGTTATCAAAAAACAAACCATGTGCAGTTTCCCTTACCCAACATTTCTTTCTTAGCAACATTTTATTCTCTCATAAATCAAAAGCTTTGGTTTCAAAGCTCTTATTTCTATGTGGACTTTGAGAGGCTCTTTTGAAAAATAAAATAAATAAAAAGCAACAACCATTTCTTTCCTTTTGCATTCCTATGAAAACAATGCTAATTCTCTTTGAAGCAGTGAGGATATCACTAACTCAGAAGAGAAAGTTTGCAAAACCCAAGTGTAAAAATTAAAAACACAGATAATAACATTTCAAGATAGTATCCTGCTGGAAATAAAAAGAGCAAATATGAACATGGTCTAAGCAATTACCATCTTTGTTTGTCTCTAAAGCCTACTCTATGGAAATTATTCTTGGATAGTAATTTTTATTCTATGCCCAAATTTTAAAAGCTATGCTTGTATAGGTTTATTATTTATCAAGCCGTGTAAAATTACAAAAATGCATTTGCATTAAGAGTTCCATGGCTTGAAATTTAGAAATATTTGAATTTTAAAAAATTCAACAGCTGTAATTTTCTGATAACCTTGAAATAATTGGTCCATGTTAGAATTATTTCCTATGAAGTGGCCCCTTAGATCAAGCTTCTCCAATCCACAGCCCAGGAGAGCTTTGAGTGGGACCCCAACACACATTTGTAAACTTTCTTAAACATTGTGTTTTTGAGTGTGATTTATGTTTGTAGTTCATCAGCTATTGTTAGTGTTAGTATATTTTATGTAATCCCCAAGACAGTTCTTTTTCTTCCAGCATGGCCCAGGGAAGCCAAAAGATTGGGCACCCATGCCTTAGATCCTGAAATAATTTCAAAATTTGCCTGAGAAGTATGTTCAGTTCTTCATAGTCCATGACAGCCCCAAGTGTGCTTTTGGTCTTTGATAAGTTCTGTGATGACTGTGTCAAAATCACCCCCTTTACTGTAAACCATCACCCAGATGTGACCCTTGGGACTCATTCTGAAACTAAATTAAGATTGGCATTTGACCAATTTGCGTTAAAGGGCAGAGTGTCAATTTGTTTTTTGCCTGTGGATTCACTCAGGGACAATTGATGCTTTGATAAAATGGGGGAAAATTATATAAAAATACAACTCAAGGGATATTAAATAACAAAATAAATAATCTTTGTTTCTAGCATCCAGGGTTATTTGGCAAAGAAAGAGAAAATAAGTGACTATTTTTCATGCTTTTCATATGGTGACAAACCAATTTTATTCTGTTTTGTACTTAAAATTTACATTGAAAATGCAAGTGAACTTTTGGTTTAGTAGTTCAGTGTACTGTAGGTAACCAGGGAGCAATGTTCAGTAAATACCATGCTATTGGATGCAAAACAGTGCAAAGAAAATGAGGCTATTTAACTCTCTTTCTTGATTGAGATTTGTATGAAGATTTTGAAATATTTAAGTTTCAATGTAGCACTTAGAATGTTACTTCTCTTCCTCCTCTTTTTAGGTTATATTTTTATTTTTAATAAAGCAAAATATGCATACAGCCTGATGCAATCAGAAAAGCATCTAAGAAGGGTAAAAAGAGGAGGATGACTCACTAATAAACTGTCATTTATAGAATATAATTAGTTTTTCCTTCATTAGCACATGCAAGAGGGATGAGTCTAATGGTAATTGTAGGACTCCAGGGTTTTCAGACTCAAAGGTAATATAATATATAAAACTGAAGTAATTAGGAGCTACGTCAAAAAATGTCATCTTTCTTATGTGTGAAAACTAGGCATTTTGTAGCAAAATAGCAATATTGATACCACAGGGACACTCTGTTTCTTTTCCACTCTGACAGAAAAGTCTCTAGTGATAGGTCCTCAAATCTTTTATTTGAGTTGTAAGTGAGAATGAGTTTGGTGCTCTCAATTAGTCCTGAGAGGGGAACCAATAGCACACAAGCTGGCACACTTTGCAATTGCTTCTGAAGAGATCTGTAGCTATACAGGCACTCGCAAAGGCTGTGACCATCCTGAAGGTACACCCAGTCCACTCGATTCACCAGAAAGCCTATAGAATGAATGGACTCAAGATTTTGCACTCTGATTTTATGAGTACAATTAATCCATTAAGAAGTTTTTACACCCAGACCCCCATTGCTTACTTTCTAACGCATTTATACAGTGTCTTAACCGTGGCATCATAGTGTGCTGTATAATGAGTTCAATTCTTCTTGTCTGTTTCTTGTTTTTTTTTTTTTCTCAATGGGAAAAAAGAAACACAAAGATAGCTGAGTTTAATATTGCTAAATAATTAGTACTGCTGAATATTATTTTCTCATTAAGTTATAACTCAGTAAATATAAAACTAGAAGCATAGTTTTGAAAACAAAGTTAACAGAATATTATCTAACAGCAGTAATAGATAGGAAATGTTCAGTACAAGAACACATAAAGTATTAATTGCTTATGAGATAATGAGACAATTGTGTTTCACTATAAACTTCTAACTGGAGAAAGATGAGCATTCTTAGTCTGTGACTACATTGTTTATTAATTCTATTGTTTTTTAATAGTGTAAGTTGTAGCTGTGTTACAATTTTCTTTCATAAAGATGAAAAAAAAACATTGTTAATGTGATTTATGAGGGTTATAACATTTTCCAGGTTTATGTTACTGCCAGGTTGTAAATGTTTTATTTTCTGAATGATTCCATTCTCTTGAGTATTGCCTAAGATCAAAGTCTCTCTACCAGGGCATACATAACATGATCCCATTTGGAAAACATCAAACAGTCAAGCTAACATGCAAATAAACACAAACCCTAGTATTTTCTCTGACAGCCATGGAAATCCTAAACATAAAGAAATGAAGATGAGAAAGGAAGGGAGTAAAACAATTGCATATTTAGGAATCAGAAGAAACTGGATTGGTTTTGATGATAAATTTATTGGTACTACAAAAAGCTCTCATGACAAAATAACATACATGATTGTACAAAGTATGATTAATGAAAGAAATATGGTTTCAGTTTTATATTATTACAGAATATTTTATAATCTAAATCT